ATTTTCGATGCGCTATCGAAACTCGTGATGATCTACCAAGTCCAGATGCTCTTCGGGCCAAAATTATAGAAGAGACGGACGCGCGTAAAGGTGGTACCAGTGGAGGCTCATCGAATGCTATGTTTGTGAATAAACGTGGTGGTCATAATGACAAGAAAGTAGTGAGCATCAGTGGCAATGGTAACTATAGGAATAGAAGAGAAATTCGGTGTTTTAAATGTAATAAAATGGGACATAAAAAATTCGAGTGTCAAAGTGGAAGGAAGCAGTCGGCGCGTACTGCGGAAATCACATGTTTTAATACTATACAGGGTTCGGCATTTCAAGCAGAAGGTGCAGACGCAAGTTGGTGTTTAGATAGTGGCGCTACGTCTCATATGTGCCACGATATTAAGAATTTTCGCGAGCTTGATAGAAACAAACATGGAACGTTGAACTTGGCAAATAGTTCGACAACTGAAATTGTTGGAAAAGGGACCGCGCAGCTCATGATGAAGAGCAAAAACGTGCCACTAACGAACACTGCGTACGTACCAGACTTGAGAACAAATCTTCTCTCCGTCGGAAAAATCACTGACCGTGGTTTCAAAGTGATTTTTGACAGTAAAGGTGCTAAAATATTAAATCCAAAAGGTCACGTAGTAGTGCGTGCAGAAAGAGTTGSTGATTTATACTACGTTCGCGGATTTGCGGAAAGCGTTCAGTCCGCGTCCACAGAATCACAAAACTTATGTGACGTCGTGAAGAATTACGGGTTCGTTCATATGGAGAACGAATCGGAAGATAGCAAGGCAATACAAAATTTGAATGGACAACCAATGAAGTGCGTGGCGGCGAAGAGCCAGAAGGTCCTTCAAACACCAACMACAAAAATCTTTGTCGGCAATCTCACCGATAYCACYAAGGAACCGGAGATTCGCAAATTGTTCAAAAAYTACGGAACGGTGGTYGAATGCGACATCGTCCGCAACTACGGTTTRGTACACCTTGAGTCGTCGGGTGACATTAACGAAGCGATCAAAYAATTGAACGGCTCTCTGGTGGACYGTCAGCCRATGAAGGTGCAATTTTCGACGAGTCGCGTGCGTCAACGGCCCGGAATGGGCGATCCTGAAAAATGCTATCGATGCGGTAGGGGTGGACATTGGTCCAAGGAATGTCTCAAAGGTATGGGACCAGACCACTTCCGCGACCGGATGATGGGTCGATTTGGAGATGGATACGATGGATACTATGATCGTCGTTTTGAAGAATTTCGTGATTTGTATGAACGCAGATACTCAGGTTTGCCTCCAAGAGGTATGGGGATGCGCGGAGGCAGATGTGATAAAGGTTCTGGGCTACGCAAGCTATTGTTTAGGCGTAGAAATTTGACAAACTCGCGATCAGATCGCGATGCGTCAGGGCGGTTACGTGACAGAATTGTTGAACCGTTTCGGCATTTGACGAAAGGTTTGGTTAAGACGAAACATGAGTGGTGTGTGAAATCAGCCGGATTAAGGACTGTCAGTTAATTTTATGAACTTTCTTTTGTGCTTGGTGTTTCTGAAGGCGGTCAATTAATCCGATAGATATTTTGTGTTTTTAGTGTTTCATGGACTGTCATACGCTAGATTCGAGGGGAGGTGTTGGAATTGTAATTTAATCGAATCTCCCGTGATTAGTCGGCGACGATGACAATCGAGAGAACATAAATAGTTACGTCACATTCTTGTTGTAAATAACAACTTCCTTCCAAATTCTGTATTTTGTGTGATCAATAAACCAAATAATTCTAACAAAATACACATCTTAAAATCATTTTAAAATAAGAAATATTTTGTGTAAAAATGTGAATATACAAATCTTCCAAATCAAATTCTGAAGAATCTCTACAGGGTGCCCATTTTATTTGTTCCTGCCTGAAGAAGCAAAACATAAACTACTTTGTGTAAAACGTCGTCTGCGTTGATTGACAGTAAATATTACTGTCAATCAACGCAGACGACGGTGTAAAATATTAACTATTTCAAATCGAATAATCATAGTCGGTGCTTGACTACTGACATTGTAAACTTAAAAAAAATTATATTCAAAACTCAAGTGTATAATAATAGAAACAACAGCAAGAAATTAACAAATTCTCACTTTAACTTTTTTAAATTGCCCAGTTAGCCGTAAATTGCTCACAATCTTCCGGAAATCCTGTTTTGCTAGAATTTTTTTTCCTATGCATACAGGCGAACTGCGGTATCATAATTCTACACAGTTCACTTTAGAATTGTCACAATTCGAATTGTGACTCGGTATATTTTTTTGAAAATTTGGATTACAACTAATAAAGAGATGGTCTACACGATGGTAATGATGAAAAAAAAAATACTCGTAGGGTTTTTCTTAGATTAGATAGATTATCGAGTTACTTCGAACTTCTTCGAACACTGTTCAAAGACAAGTTTGCCAATATTCAATCTCAAATTTTATATTATCCTAAAGGGCAAGGCCATCCCTTTATAGAATGGTCTTTATTTTGTAATGTGTTTTCTTTTATTACTATTTTACTTATTTAAACCGGGCGCCACCAACTTTTTCCTAAAAGTTGGAAAAGAACTATTTGGAGATGTTCTCCAGGTTTACACTACATAAGAATGCCTTTCCGGCCAGCTTTTATACAGTGGAGATGAATGGGAAGGTTCGATTGAATTAAACACAAGTGATTGAAAAGAGAAATTTATTTAGTAACCATAACAACAGTAACAACAGATAAAATAACAAACTTTACAAAAAAACAAATTCTAACTTGGACCTAGTGAACCCTAGCCCTTGGAGAAGAGGTCCTCCGCGGGTGAATTTGAGGGGAGAAGTCCCGTCGGTTGCTTTCCTGGAGAGGTCCAGGAAGTGACACCACCTAGGAGAAATCCCAGATGTTAAGCCCTTACCACGGAAGGGATCCCGTGGTCCGTGTCCAGAGGTGAACTCGGCTCCCAGAAGATGTCCTGGGAAAGGTATGTTTTAACGACGGAAGAAGGTCCCGCCGACCGTATTCTTTGAAGATGTCCAAAGAGCACAGTCCTTCAGAAGAGGTCCTGAAGTTATTCCACCAAGAGAGGTCCTGGTGATTGCGTCCGAAGAGGTTCGGAAGGAGACTCAAATGAATCTGCCGGTGTGGCGGCCCGTTCTCCTTTATATACCCTTTGAAGTCAGCATTTCCGTAGCAACAAAATAAACACTTTGTTTCCACTTTGATCCAATTATCTGGGCGTACCTCTCATTGGTCTATTTTGGCGGTTCTTTTTAAATAAAACACAGACACACCATAACGTTTATTCAATGAATTTTTACACTTTTTAACTGACTAATTGTTTGGGAAATATGCTACACATATTTCTAATACCAAAGAAATACTAAATCTAAAATTTTATTACAATTTGAAGGAAATCGGCCTAATAGTTATACTAATATCATTTTGCTAAGACCTACTAAAAATTTTATTACTTTTAAGTTAAATGCGGTATTGTTAAGAGTAAACCAGAGGGTAAACAAATCATAAATTAGTGGACCCACCCGGACCCTGAAACAGGTCAGTTTTGAACAGGACCGGATTATTTATACTCTTTTTGTCTAAAATTCTTCAAATATTTTAATAGTTTTTGATGTAGTCAAGTATTTTAAGAAATTTAAAAAAGCCAGGTGGTTATTAACAAGTTATTATTAAATAAAGCAGATTTTTTTTAATAATAGCTTGGTAAAACTCTACCACTACTTTGGTTTTAAATACGGCCCTGTTTTATTCTGGTGGGTGCAGCAACACTTGCAAAGGAACGTGCCATTTATGGAGGGTTACAAATTCAAGCCATTGTTTGGTTAATTCCTTATAATGTGTCATAAAATTTTTAGTAGGGCGTAGCAAAATGATATTACTATATTGAGTAATGATTTTTTAAAGTTAAAGTAGGTATTTTAAATTCATTTAAATTAGAAAAAAAAATTATTTAGTTCAAAGTGTGTGGACTTTTTGAAATTTTTGTAGTGCATTTGATTTGTCTCACTGAGACGAACTAAATGATAAAAAAATTGTCAAGTTGTCACGACATGACTTTTTTTGTCGCCCTGTGTAATATCTATATTTGTTTTACTTGTTTTGTAATGTTTTTCATGACAATTCAAACATAAATTTCATAGAAATGTGTTTCATTTCAGGGTCCTTTGACTGGGGCTAGTATGAATACAGCAAGGTCTTTTGCTCCTCTAGTGTTTGGGGGAAGTTGGGCCGATCAATGGGTAATTTTCTACTGATTAATTCTGATGATTTTCTTATGATTTCGGTTGTAGATATTTTGGGTTGGTCCAAATGTAGCTGCTGTAATTGGATGTGAGTAGTTAGTAGGCCCCTAGTGAACACAGCTACTTTTTTAAGGAAAACACCCCGATTTTCAAGGGTAAACAGAAAAGCAGAAAAAATCGTGAAAACACTCCCGTTTTTTAAGCCAACATAAACCCATTTTTGAAACTCGATGGCTTGTGGTAATTTAGATCATGAGATCTAATACAGGGCGTCAAGAAAATTGATATCATAACAGTATTTATTAACGAACCGGGTTTCTATTCATTAATTTCATAATTAATGATATATAATTAATTTCATAATTAATGAATACAAACCCGGTTCGTTAATAAATACTGTTTTGATATCAATTTTCTTGACGCCCTGTTTTAGGGCGTCTGATCTATCTTTTAAAGAAAAACCTGATTTTTCAAGGTAACTCAAAAAGTGCAAAATTTATGAGGTCCCCCTCAGAACATTTGCCCTGTTTCTATAAGGTAGAAGGCATGCTATACAAACTCATGTAGATGGGTATGTACGTCTGTTCAGCACAACAGTTCAAATTTAATGATTCTAGAAATCAACCCATTGAACAAGTTTTTAATCAATTTTCCCGACGGGGTAAAACACCCTGTCTGTAAAATTGATGTGAAAACTATTTGGTAATGAATAGGATTAGCATAATTATAGAACTATGTCAAAAATAGATAAAGAAAATAAAAGAAATTTATTTCAAAGAATTATGTGAATTGGAAAATTTGGTGTATACTCAAACGGTATACACTCCAGGAAATGACCAAGTTTTTAGGTATATTTTTTAAAGTACCTTTGTTAATAGTTAAAATTCGCTTTTTTGCCGTTTTTTCTATTGGGCCAATTGAGCACAAAAATGAATACGGTTTCGGCCAAACAAATTCGGACAAGGTCCTTATCAGCGAAGTGAATTCACAGTCCTGTCCTGTTTTATAAGGTAGCAGGCATGTTGTACAAACTCATGTATATAACGACTTTTGTAGAAAATTTAAATTTGCAGCCAAATTAGTTCCAAATTTAATTGTCCACTTGGACACCAGAGGTTGTCGTTTCATTCTAGTAACTTTTATTTCTTACTGTTGGCATGAAATCTGCATTTCTTGCGATTCTGCTTGCGATCCGTGTTTTGATTCAGGTTATCATAGATTAATGAGGTTATATAGATGCTTCCTGGATAGATGGATCGCCACATCGAAGAAATCCTTGAGAATTACCCTAATTTTCTAAACGGTGAGCATTATAATTAACATTCTTGGTTAAATTTTTATTCTTATACGCTTTTATTATTTACTATTTTACTATTTTATTATTATACGCTTCAGATGATCACGTGGTTGACTGTACTTGGGAAGAAGATGAGGATACTAAAAAAGCACCGTTTGTCAGAACTTTACCTAGAAATTTTTCTGTAAAAGATGTCACCTATATAAGAAAAAGAAGGGGGTGCTACTTCGTAGTTAAATATAATTTTGACACTGGCGAAGACCTACCAACAGGAAATGGATTAAAGGTGTTGGTAGATCGGATTAAAAAATATTCACCGTCGAATACTGTGATAGTGGACGAATGTATAGAACCTCCAAAATATATCGTCATAACGTACGTAGTTTGTTGCAAATGCAGCCGACTGGATTTTGAATGGCCCATATCATTGCCGTCTTAATCTAATATATAGTATAGCATAGATTAAGACGGCAATGAATAGTAAAATTTTTAATTGCTCCAGTACACCTATGTTTGGGCAATGAATATTGAATGTACTAAAATCAAATGGAGCCGCTTTTAATAACATTTGAAAATTCATCATCTTCGTATGGAATCGCTTTATCTTTTTTAAAAAGTACAATAAGTCATTATACAGGGTTATTCATGAATATGAAGCAATATTTGAACCTCAAAAATGACCTATAAAATGATGTTGATTTAAATAATATCTCGTGCCCGATGTCTATTGAGAAGAATTTTACAGCCCTCGGAATGTGGGTATGGAAATTTATTTTTTTTGTAATAAGTTTGGAACCATTTGACCAAATATTATAAAATTTGGAATAGTTACTTGCGAGAACATACCCTTTAGGCTAGTAATTACGAAAACCGGATACATCTACTCAAGTTCCGGTTTCGGCAGTTGCAGGTCACATTTTCTGTATTTTTCCGTTTTTTTGGCCTCTTGGCACTAATTTTGTATTGCTTAAATCTAAAGAGTAATCAATTTCAATTCAAAAACGCATAACCTTTTATACCACCAATGGACCGTTTTAAAGATATTTTAATTCAAAGTGAGGACAGCACAACACTGAAAGCAAAAAGTATGAATTTTGAATGAGTGATATCCACGGCAACAAATGACCATGGTCACATATTTTGCATCTGTCAACTTGAGTTTGGACAATTATTAGACGATTAATCGAAAATATTTAATAAAAGAATTTACCTCAGACTCCAAACATAACTTAGAATAAGTCCAAATGGATGTCGTAGCATTTAATTCATAAAAAATTCACAAAAATTTATCGTCAAAGTTAACAAATGCCTGGCAGGGATTTATGTGACCATGGTCATTGGTTGCTGTGGATACCACTTATTCAAAATTCATATTTTTCATTTTCAGCGTTGTGCAGTCCTCTCTTCAAATTAAAATATCTTTAAAACGGTCCATTTTAGAGGTATTAAAGGTTATGCGTTTTTTATTCAAAATTGATTACTCTATTGTTTTGACCAAAAAAAAAATAATGTTAAGAGGCCAAAAAAACGAAAAAACACTGAAAATATGACCTGCAATTGCTGAAACCGGAAATTGAGTAGATGTATCCGGTTTTCCTAATTACTAGTTTAAAAGGTATGTTCTCGCAAGTAACCGTTCTAAATTTTATAATATTTGGTCAAATGGTTCCGAAGTTATTACAAAAAAAAAAACAAATTTCCATACCCACATTCCGAAGACTGTAAAATTCTTATCAATAGAGATAGGACACGAGTTATTATTTAAATTAACATCATTTTATATCTCATTTTTGAGGGTCAAATATTGCTTCATATTTATGAATAACCCTGTATAATGACTTATTGTACTTTTTAAAAAAGGTAAAGCGATTTCATACGAAGATGATGAATTTTCAAATGTTATTAAAAGCGGCTCCATTTGATTTTAGTACATTCAATATTCATTGCCCAAACATAGGTGTACTGGAGCAATTAAAAATTTTACTAAACAATGTACTAGCCAGAGACATCGTAGGGTCCCGTTGAAATCGACTCCCTAAGTTTAGAAACTGATTGAAAAATACACTTTGCAAGAAACAAAAATATAATATGAAAGTTTATCTTCTTTCAAAAAAAAATTAAATACATTTTCCTAAACTAAGTATTTTAAATTCTTCATATATTAGATTACCTCGTTAATGTTGTAGTAATCTTAGTTATATTGATAATGTTAATGATTCCTATTTAATGGCCATAAAATTAAAAACACTGTAACAAGTCATATTATTTTAATTACCTTTACATGTGAAATTTACCTAATTACCTTTATATGTGAAATTTTTCGAGCGCATTTTGCATAGCCCATACTTTAATTGGTGTTTGTATGGGCCATTCAAAATCCAGTCGGCTGTATTTGCAACAAACTACGTACGTTATGACGATAATTTTGGAGGTTCTATACATTCGTCCACTATCACAGTATTCGATGGAGAATATTTTTTAATCCGATCTACCAACACCTTTAATCCATTTCCTGTTGGTAGGTCTTCGCCGGTGTCAAAATTATATTTAACTAGGAAGTAGCACCCCCTTCTTTTTCTTATATAGGTGACATCTTTTACAGAAAAATTTCTAGGTAAAATTCTGACAAACGGTGCTTTCTTAGTATCCTCATCTTCTTCCCAAGTACAATCAATCACGTGATCATCTGAAGCGTATAAGGAATAAAAATTTAACCAAGAATGTTAATTAAAATGCTCACCGTTTAGAAAATTAGGGTAATTCTCAAGGATTTCTTTGATATGGCGATCCATCTATCCAGGAAGCATCGATATAACCTCATTAATCTAGCCTCAATCGCTCAATTAAAACCATATATATAATACTAGTTATATATAATACTAGTATTATATATATGATTAAAACACGGATCGCAAGAAATGCAGATTTCATGCCAACACTCCAACAGTAAGAAATAAAAGTTACTAGAATGAAACGACAACCTCTGGTGTCCAAGTGGACAATTAAATTTGGAACTAATTTGGCGGCAAATTTAAATTTTCTACAAAAGTCGTCTCCATGAGTTTGTGCAGCATGCCTGCTACCTTATAAAACAGGACAGGACTGTGAATTCACTTCGCTGATAAGGAGCTTGTCCAAATTTGTTCAGTCGAAACCGTATTCATTTTTGTGCTCAATTGGCCCAATAGAAAAACGGCAAAAAAGCGAATTTTAACTTTTAACAAAGGTACTTTGAAAAATATACCTTTAAAACTTGGTCATTTTCTGGAGTGTATACCGTTTAGGTATATACCAAATTTTGCAATTCACATAATTCTTTTAAATAAATTTCTTTATCTTCTTTATTTATTTTTGACCTAGTTCTATAATTATGCTAATCCTATTCATTACCAAATAGTTTTCACATCAATTTTACAGACAGGGTGTTTTACCCCGTCGGGAAAATTGATTAAAAACTTGTTCAATGGGTTGATTTCTAGAATCATTAAATTTGAACTGTTGTGCTGAACAGACGTACATACCCATCTACATGAGTTTGTATAGCATGCCTTCTACCTTATAGAAACAGGGCAAATGTTCTGAGGGGGACCTCATAAATTTTGCACTTTTTGAGTTACCTTGAAAAATCAGGTTTTTCTTTAAAAGATAGATCAGACGCCCTAAAACAGGGCGTCAAGAAAATTGATGCCAAAACAGTATTTATTAACGAACCGGGTTTGTATTCATTAATTATGAGATCTAAATTACCACAAGCCATCGAGTTTCAAAAATGGGTTCATGTTGACTTTAAAAACGGGAGTGTTTTCACGATTTTTTCTGCTTTTCTGTTTACCCTTGAAAATCGGGGTGTTTTCACGATTTTTTCTGCTTTTCTGTTTACCCTTGAAAATGGGGTGTTTTCCTTAAAAGAGTAGCTGTGTCCACTAGGGGCCTACTAACTACTGATGTGCTCTCTACAAATTTTTATTCAGTGAATCTGATGATAAAAGGGAAAGTATTTTTCTAGATGATGTTTCACCTCAGTCCGCAGTTTAATGGGTCGTATTTTTTATACTCTCTTTGGGATCAGTTTTAATGATCAAATAACTCAAAATTTTCATATAGTTAATATATTATGTAAATAAATATAATGAACAACTTTGGAAACTTTGTTATTTATAGAAAATATAATTTATTACGAAATTTTATTTTTGTGTTCTTATTTTAAAAACTTTCAAAAAAGCAAACAGACGGTAAGTGTCTAGTTTGATCATTAAAATATCAATATAAGTATGACAAAATGTTTTCTGGGAAAATATATTAAAATCTAATTTGTCTTGCAACAAAAAGTAAAAGCGTAAACTATTTTTGACGATATAATGTATAATGTATTTCAACAAGAGAATAAACTATAATTGCAGGTTCAAAAAAGTGTACTTTATTTCAGTCAAAACATTCTAATACAATAATCGATAATATGCATAAAACATGGATATTTTTTCGTACACAGCAACGAAGTATTAATGTCATCAAAACCGCAAACAGCATTTCTGAAATATGTGTCGTAAGAATAAATAAAAATCTTGTCTAGCATGTTTTAAAATTTCATGAATGAATAGGAACTTCAAAACCTGTCAGTTATCTGTTTTTATGAATCTTTAATACGTGCCTCGAATTAAAAGCACTTTCTTCTAAAACAAACTAAAACTTAACACGCATTCAATGTCTTAGCCAGCCTCTTTAATAATTTTTAATGACTTACCATTTAATTAGGTACTTACAGGATGTCCGGAAAAAAGATTTTGGGGGTGATTTTTTGGGTGAATAATATAGGACCAATGTCCAGAAATGCTTTTTATGGGAATTAGAGCCATAACTCGAGTCCATAGGATTTTTTCCCTTATACAGACATAAGGAATCACTTCTCGAAAAACCCGTTTTTCGGACAATCTGAGCGAGTAAGTGAGTGGTGGACTGCTTAAATTATAATAATTAAATAATAAATTGAACTATAATTGCTTTTTAATTAATTTAATTAACAAAATAACAAACGTAATAACGTAAAAATTGTACAAAAGCCATTCCTTTCCTTCACAATGAAATTTCAGCAAAACTGAGGTTTTAGAACAATGCCATAATGGATTAATTTTTAAAAAAATACAAATTTAGTAAAAGTTGAAATTTGTATTTTTGGTTGAATCTAAGAAAATTTCAGAAATACATACACCACAATAATGGATTCACACTATAACCCTTTAAAGGAGATAATAACTCAACTTGCCTTGTTCGAATGTTTATAAGTTTTGAGATATAGATGGTGCAACCTCGAATTTTAGCCTCGGAAAATTCATCAAAAAATGCACTATAAACGAATAAGTTTGCGCCGTTTGAGTAATTCATTCTGAAATTTACATTGCTAATAGCAGTTGGTGATATTTAAGGTTTTAATGCAAAATTTTTGCCTCTATTATTTTTTTTATATTTTCTTTTCTGTTTTTATTAATTTTTTTTAACAATGAATACATTTTGAAGGGCAAACCTTAGGGACCTTTGTTAACAATTTTTGTTGGTGAAGTTTAAGGCTGTGCGCCAATGTAATTTTTTTTTTTTTAATTAAATTATTAAATAATTTAAATCTATATTATGCTTATAAAATTTTTAGGACTGTGTTGACCAGACATTTTTTTAAAATGGTTTTGCTAGAAGACATTTGAAACGTTTTGCCGTTTATTGAATAAAATAAAACACAATTACCTACACCACACCTTAACTAATGCTTCCTTTACGTAACATAAAACTTGAAATTTATGGATTGCTCTGTATTATTCAGTTCAAACAAAAGGATAAAAGAAAGAAGCTTTTAAAAAACTCGTCAACTTTTAGATGACTTTCAGTTTCATTTCAAATCAGCCTTTTTTGGTTTCGGTCATTGTCTTAAGTTAAATAGGAAAACAAATATAAATATTTAATGTGAGCTTTGAAGATATACCAGGTGAATAAAAAGTATGGAACGAAGCGTTTTTCTCGTAAACTCACCACTTTACAAAAAAAAATAATTAGTGTAGCGTAAAGTCCAATTAAAATGTGACCATTTATTAAGAATAACATTTTTCGAAATTTTTTTTAGTTTTCGAATTCTGGAAAAAAATTTTTTTTTAAATGGCAACCCACTATGGTAATTTTTTTAATTAAAGACTATGATCTAAAAATGACCTCTAATTAAACAGAATTGTTTTCTAGTCAGTACTTTTTTTTTAATAAATTGTTAAAGTTGCGTTCCGTGCCCATCACGAAGATTTTCCGAACTTGACTTTCATGACTTTGGTCGTGGGAGAGCCCGGTTTTTGGTGCAGGTGCTTTGGGGTGGTTCCGGATGGATCAAAAAATGTAAAAACAAATCATTTTCTTCTATTTTTAGTCCATTCGAAACCACCCCAAAGCACCTGCATAGAAATCAGCGCTCTCCCATGATGAAAAGCATGAAACAACCACTTCGGTTAAG